CTCCTCGAGTTCTATCATATCTGATTTAGTTAGGCAAAAAATATTGATCCTAAAAGAAACTATGACAGGGCCCGCCATGGCCCGCTTTGGGCCCGTCCGCAAGTATGAATTTCCCCTTGATGTTGATTAATAAAAACTCACGTGTTGCAGTAGAAGGTTCCATTTTCCGTAGCAACAGCAGGATTGCAGCTTCGACTGCATTGATTTGCCACCTTTTCAAGACAAGTTGTGTGTAACATCCGGAGTTTCCATCTTTTATTCTAAATACCATCAGGAAGATTCTTCTGTCCACCTGGTCTGACACCTTGAAAAACGTAGTTGCCAGAATAGTCAGTAGGAAGTACTTTCAATTTTTATTATTCAGCTATTTCTTGTCTATCATTTTATGGTAGCTATAGAAATTTGAAAAAAAAACTAGAAATATACCTGTGTATCTGGTCCGTACGGCTTTCTCGACAATCTTTTCATCATGGGTGATGAATAATCCGATAGAGCCGGTTGCAAGTGGAGTTCCATCAGCTTCTCTGATCGAATACACAACTTTCGATGATAGATTCGTTTCCAGTGGACTTTGCGCCGAGAGATGATCCGTCTTGTTTCACGATTGGGAGAACGGTATCTCCATAACCATCAGTTTGAAAAACTCGAGCTGTGGGCTCATCCAATAGAACATGAACATAATTTCCTTGAATGTGAGTTGGAAGTTGGATACCATCGTTTCAGGCACTAGATAGATTGGCTGGACAGTGTTTGTTCCATCCGATAGAATTTGTGTGTAGACGAATACCCTAGCTGCGTCAGTAGGCAGTATCTGGAACATGAAAACATGGACTCCATGTAATTCAAAACAAAGAAAACTCACTTGTCCATCTTCATTGTCCGCTTTCGTTTTTTTTTGCCAATCTGGCCATCGTCAGCATTTTCCTGAAGAATCGGTCGCTCATGATGTTCCATCTGGCTTCTCTCTGAAATATTCACAAATTTAGCGAATTTACAGTAACAATCATGAACAAAACAAAACACGAATCATGATTTTAAAAAATGTTAGCAGGTTCCCTGTGGTTTTCAAACGGGAAAACATTTTTCACAGTAAATGTTAACCATTCTGATATATGAAAAACGCTTTCCGCAAATTGTTTTGCTCAATAAACAAAAGAAAATCGATGAGCACAGGTTTACGAGGCCCGCGGATATGGGGTGTGTATATTCAGAAAATTGTGTTCAATAGGGCGCGTTTGCTCTTTTGTCATACATATAATAGAAAAAGAGGAGGCACACATCGCGTGTGTAGTCGTTGTGTGGTGGGTTGGGAGCATTGGATTATCGGGATGTGCAGAAGAAGAGGTCAGATCATGAGGAGATATAAATTTGCGGGAGAGAGAAGGATAAGAAAAAAGAACAGATGGAAAGGTAAGGTGACGAGGGTGGATGCACCTCACCACCCTCATCGCCTCGTATAAATTTTGGCGAGCAATGAATCCTATACCATTCGTGATTCCATCTTTTGTTTCGAGTGATGATGATGGAAAAATTGGAAGTCGTGAAAAATGAAAAAAAAAACGAATGTGGTGAATTGCAGAAGCCTTATCACAATCACTGCTCAATAACAACATTACCTGAGAAAATATCTCGAGAAAATAGAAGAACAATAACAATTAGTTTATTTTAGGGTTCAATAAAATTTGAGATAGATCCGACAACGACTGGTTTTTCATCCCACAACCATCCCACAATGAAAAATCATCCATATAGAGCCGCCTTCATGAAAATTCGTTTTTGAGGGACCATTCAAATGTAGTTCCCCAGATTGATTTTTTATCTCGTTTTGAATTTCTACATCGGGATTATTTTTACTCTGTTTTCGGAATGTCTGTCACGAAATAAAGTCTGTAAATTGATTTTTCGTCATTATTGTCAAAGATATCTATTCAGTGTCAGGCATGGAATTCAAACCAAAGATTACTGCTGAATAGTTTGCTTTGAAATACGGTTTAGATCCAAACACCTCCGATATCGCCATGAGCATTTTCTCTACGATGACTCTTGGAAGATTTAAGTAACCATATTTTCTTTAATAGAAGTCCATCCAAACCATCAACGTCGAGCTAAATTATCTCGGTTCCTGCAAGAGATATCTAAATTTTGTCATTTGATAAAATGTTGGTAAAATGAAATGACAAACATTTTATTAATTTTTAATGTTTGATATCTTCCACAGCAATCGAGATAAGTGAGCTCAAAGTTGACGATCAAAGTAGATTTTATCAGAGGAAATACGGTATATCCTATAAGTATTAGGGGTTTGCAAAAGTCATGCGCGTCAAGTTTGGTGTTTTGTATCTCACCCAAAACAAACGGTTTGTGTTCAATTTTTTTTTGTTTTAAAAAGCGCGTTCTTGGGCTTCATTTTGTTATATTATATTCTGCTTCAATTTGACTTCTATAAAAAAAAACATTCTAGAAGATGTCCGACCAAAAATTTCGCCTTCGAGCATTTTTGCGGCACCAATTTAAGGAAGGAAAATCGGCTGCCGAAGCTTACCGCTCACTTTCTCCTGTATTCGGTGAAGAAGCTATATCCGAAAGTCTGTGTCGCCGCTGGTTTAAGCGCTTCAGGAGCGGAGATGAAAGATTGGAAAATGAATCGCGCCCTGGTCGTCCAGAGCAGGTGGACAACGATGCCTTGAGAGCAGCAATTGAAGTGGATCCTTGCCAAACAGTCTCTCGGAGCAGTTTGACTGCGATTTTTCCACAATTTCCGGACATTTGCATGCAATCGGAAAGACAAACAGATGTGGAAAATGGGTCCCTCATGAGCTTTCCGATTCGAACAAGGGAAGACGTGTTGAAGTTGCCAATATTCTGATGCGCCAAAAATCGTGGTTTCTTCGATTCGATTTTGACATCGGATGAGAAATGGATTCAGTGGGACAATAATGGGAGAAAAAAACAGTGGCTGAGTCCTGGCGAGACCCCGAAACCGATTCCAAAACCGGACATCCACGGAAAGAAGGTGATGATATGTGTCTGGTGGAACACACGAGGTCTCGTGCATTTTGAACTTCTGAGACCTGGTCAAACGGTAATGCGGACCTTTACAAAGATCAGCTGGACCGTGTGGACCAAGCTCTCAAACGCCAAGGCGTGGACACTTCGACAACAGTCTTGCTCCATGACAACGCTCGACCACACACTGCAAAAATCATTCAGCAGAAAACTCAGGGGCTGGGCTGGGAAGTGCTGCCTCATCCGCCATATAGTCCCGATTTGGCACCATCGGACTATCACCTATTCCGATCCATGCAACATCATCTGGCCGAGAAAAAATTCGAAAGCGGTGAAGAAGTGCAAATTTGGGTGGCGGACTATTTCGAGTCACAGCGAGAGGAGTTCTTCAAGAAAAGCATCGCTGAATTGCGCACACGTTGGCAGCAAGTAGTGAACAATAATGGAGAATATCTTATTGATTGATGATATCTTGTTTTGGTTTTACAATAAAAGGAAGTTGCATCAAAAACGCGCATTACTTTTGCAAACCCCTGATAATTGTCTCATTGATGACGAGAATGGCCGGAAAATGTAAATTTCACTCTTAAAGAAGCCGAAAGAGTCAAAAACCGACTTAATTTTTCAACAACCGACGAAAAACCATTTTCCATGGTTTTCGTCTTCTTCTTTTGCTTCCTGAGAAGTGCTTCTTCCTTCCTGAGTAGCGCTTCTCGGTTTCCAGCCGGTGAGAACATACAAAAACCATCAAGAAACCGTCGTGTGTTTTTCTCAGCCTGCTTCACTTCATATGTAAGGTCACGGACAGATTTCCGATCGAAATGGATGAAAGCCAAAGTCCTCGAAATTCTGAACAATCATGTAGATGTATGAGATCATCAATGTTTTCGGCTTGTACGGATTCTAGTGATAAGGTTAATCTTGTTATTCAAATTTTATATACTTGAATAGAACTTTGTTATTTGTTACAATACGTGACACTTTCCTCAAAGTTAATGATACGTAAGAAGGATAAGACCATAGCAGGATTAAACGAGCGAAGAATTTCTCAAAATCTGTTTTTATCCCCTGGATAAAGCTTATGGTGCCAGGCACAGAAGCTGGTACATATTCAAGTCCAAATAAACATTGGGTACAAAGAACAGAGCTTACACGGTGATATCAGATAAGTTTAGCCTATACGGAACAAAGTTCTTCATAAAAAAAGGAGGAGCCGATTCCGTCACGGGAGGAGTATAAATAGTCCTCTTGGTTGGTTTTCAAATATTGTTCCGTACCTTCCTCGTACTGAGCATCTTCCTACCTCTCCTGTGCACCCTACCTCAAGCCTGGAAATGCTCAGCCACTTCCTTCTTCTCTCCCTCGCGGCTTCTACCGTAGTCGGCCTCTCCTGCTATGGATACGACGACTACTTTGCAGTCGTCGAGACGGTCCATCATCGGAAGTTCTGCACCGCCATCTACGAAGTCTCCGACGGGATCGGATCTTTCGGTGGTGGCTTGCGTCACCCATCCCGTATCCCTAACATCGTCAACATGACAAAGGGAGACGACTGCGTCCTCCAGGTGAGCGTTTGAAATTTTAACGACATTCTTCAATTTCATTTAATTTAATGGCTTTTCTGTTATTAGCACGTCGATAGCAATCTGAAGGGAGTCCCCTCTTCGGACATCTGGCTCTGCTATTGCTACGAGAACATGTGCAACTACCCCTTCACCTGGAAGGAATTTGAGAGCCGTGGCCACACTCTCAAGCCAAAATATTCCAAGGGATTGAAGGATCATTGAGTGCTCCCTGGCCCCTTCAACCGCTTCAGACTCTTGACTTTTTCAACATTTCAATTCTTTTCCTCATTTTGATTATCTTGCTTTCTCCCTCTCCTTCTCTACCTTTCAATGCCATTTACGAAACCATGATGAATAAAACTTTTTAAATAATCAGTATTTCTCTCCTGAAGCTTTTCAGAAACTAAAAAGAAAAAAGAGTTTGCTTAGAGAACTGAAATTTTCCCAACTAATTCTCACCATTGCCTTAGTATCCAGCATTGACCATTTTTGTTGGTTACGGGCCACGAAATCATCTTATTTCAGTTTTTTTGAATAACATTCCATTCTTTTGTCTCTTTTCAATTGTTGGCAATACTGATACCAATTATTGTGTGGTTTCTTCGCGTCCAGTTGTCTTGGAAACTCCAGTTGAACAAATTTCTTGAACATCTTATCGGCTTCATGACGAAATTGACAGTTGTTGCTGAGAAAATGTTCCAACTCATCAAAAGTGAGTTTGTCAAGTATTGGTTCCAGATTTTCGAAAGTCTCGCTATCCTCGATAACTGAAAAATAGTAGATTATTTTTGAAAAGTGCACATGAATCGGTCTCACTGTAGTTTAGGGACGAGAATTTGGCCACCATTGTATCTAAATAGCTGCGGTTTTTCGATTTTCCAGATTACATCCCTGTTCGCTCCAATTTTGTTTTGAAGGTCAATTCATTTGAATTCAATCCAGAAGTTATATTTTTTGAGATTGAAGGCGCGATCGAAATTGGTCTGCTCAGTCCCAGTAGAAACTGTTTTTGGTTTGTCAAACATTTCAGAAATCACAGCATTGTCTTTGTCCAAATTTGAATGAACCGACGCAATTGATTTTGTCGACATATCCATGTACACAGTTTTAGCTTTCTTGACGACAACAGAATCTTGGTCACCTTGCCTCTTATTTTTGTTTCGTAGTTTTACTCGAATATCCACTCTTTCCATGAAAAGTTGAGCTCGATCACGGAGTTTTTCCTCGAGAGAATCTTGACATTTTCGAACAGCTTCGTAAGTTTTCGAAGATTGAAACACTTCTAGTGGAACGTAAGCGGATAGTTTCAGTAATTTTTTTCATTGATTCACCAGCCTGAATAACAAACTTGCATATAACATATTGGCATATATAATTTTTTGGTTTTTTTTAATTGAACATTTCTCATATTTTGAAATCCTACAAAGATGCCAAAAACTATGGGATGCAATAATGATGATAAATATGTCGAAATGAATGTTTCAAATTTGATATCTTTTAAAAAAACTTCTCAAACTTTTTTCTGTTAGTACTAAAAACAAGCGGGGGAGCACGTTTGCATTCGCATTTTTTGCGGGAGATTTGAGTGGAGAGTGGTCAAAGAAAAATTTAATTTCATGATGCTTTCTTCAATTTCAGAAAGCTATAAAAACGTTTAGAACATTTTAAACATAAGATAGTTGAACGAAAAATATTTTTTCAAACACTCACCTCAAAACCCAATTCCAGATATGTTGTACATTGTTCAATTTTCTTCCGCCGCTTATACTCCACGTCCGTCATTTCAAGTAGCAGAAAACTAAAAAATTACCATCATGTTTGAGAAAGTATTCCGGTTGATAATCATGATAATAATTTAATAAAATGATAATGTTCTTGAACTTATTGAAAATGTTCGACAGAAAGTTATTTCGAAAAAAATAAGATCATTTTCATGTTATGTGTATACAAACAACACAATATTTCGGAGTTATGTCTACACTGACTATGACTTTTCGAGATCTAATTTTGTTTAAAAGTTGCATTTGAAAATAAGAGACTGGTAAAAAAATTGGACAATCCGAACTGATGATAAAAGAATATAATTTATTACAGAACAGAGGAAGTGGCTGTGAAAAAACGGAAAAGTATATGATTGGAAATATTGCGTCAGGCCCAATTTTCAGTCTGTCTTTCCGGAGAACTCAAGTTTGAAGTTTGAAGTTTGAAGTGAAGTTGTCCAGACTACATATTTGCAAAATTGATACATTTTCAAAATGATACATTTTCAATTTTTTTACTGGATGTGCTCCATTGGAATCAAAACAGAACTTCCTCAAAGAAATGGAAAAAAAGAAGGCCCAGAAAGCTCCTAATATGACGTGTCAAATATGTTGGTTCATGACAACCTTGGGAATTCATATGAAATTCTGCTTGGAAAGAGCATCCCATTATTTTGATTAGCTTTCAAGAAACAGAGTAATGTACAAAGCTGCAAGAATTATATAAATATTTAGACTCATTTGTCGAGTATTTCCAAAAGTTTGAAAGAATTTGAATCGTTAGAATTATATTTGGGAACTTGACTTTTCGATCACTGTCACACTCTCATTTGTCTATCCTTAATACAAAGCGAAAAAAAAACCTAACCGCAAAAAATGGAGTTCGGTGAATGAAGCTCAGAAATCGTTCAATTTACAAGATATCCTTTTGAAGGTTCAAAAGCACTAGAATCCGTTCAGATTAAGAAGCTTATGAAAAATATGAATAATGTTCGGTTTAAAAAAAAAGAAGAAACAGAAAATATACAAGAGTAACACGTCTCGCTTCATGGGCTTTTGAAACATCATTGGGACATATCCAGAAGAGGTGATGCAAAAAAGATTATTGAACTGGAAACTAATGGGCTACTTTTAGATATGAGATATGGAGATTTCAAGTTCAATGACATCCAAAATAGAATTCGAAAAATGTGAAAATGGTGCAAAAGGACGTTGAAAGTAGTTCAGTAAATAATTGTTTCTAGAATTACAATTACATACAAGGATGAAATCAATAGTGAACTAGAAAACAACAAACGTTTTTTATACTTAACCAAGTAATTTAATTACAAAAAAGAGGATAGCAGCTTCCCAATAATAAAACATTTCATAGAATTCCATCAAGTCGAACGCTGTATTTTTCCATAAAACTAAAAATTATCTCAAAAAGAGCAAAAAACATTATGTGAATTTTCGGAACCTAATTTCTGATCGGGAAACTTTCAGAAACCGTTCCTATTTGATTAAAAACTATCTAACAAGGGAAGGTTTTTCAGACAACGGTTGAGAATTTGCTCAAAATTTGTACAAAAGTACTTTCGAACATGCTGAATCCGAATCCAAAAAATTTTTAGCCCGTTCTCAAAAAGAGCCGAAATATGGCCTCTGAAAGTGCTCTTAGCACTAAATTTTGGCCAAAAACATGCATTTTTCGAGGCTAAAAATTAGTTTTATAGGGTTTTTTGAGTGCGAAACTAATTTTTAAACATTTCCCTATGTTCTGTAACAGTTTTTGAACATTTTCAAAAAAACATTTTTTTTTGAAAATTTTTGAAAAAAATCTCCATGGGGTCCCCCCATACTTTGAAAATGATTTTTTGAAAATTTCTTGAAAAGTTCGAAAAAATGTTCCAATTACTCAGAAACGATAAAAATATCACTCTGAAAAAATTTGACAGCCCAACTTTGACAAAATTTGACAGCCCAACTAAAAAACAAAGAAAAAAGTTTTACCACAGTGGGGTTCGAACCACCATAGTTACTCCTAATGAGCCACCTCTTACCACAACACCACCCAGCCGACATTTTCTTCTCACGCTGATTTGGTAGAGGAGGGAGGGAGAAGCCGAAATCGGCTGCGTGGAGATATCGGGCAAAATTTTCAGACAAAGTTTTTCAGCCTGCTAGTGAGAACGGGCTAAAAATTTTTTCGTCATCGTATAGAGCATGTCTTAAATTATAAGTATACAAGTTTTGAGCAAATTCTCAACCGTTGTCTCAAAATCTTCCCTTGTAAGAATAATTTTTAGATTGATTTTGATACTTCCAGAAAATTTTCTCATGAAAGTTTTCACTGGAACAATGAAAAAAAAAACACGGACAGGGAAAGTGCGGAATTCATGAAACTATGTCTCTACAGGTTATTTTTGATTGTAAATCAAATGACGTTTACACTTTTTTGATATCTCTTCTCGTTTTTTCTGTGCGCCCAAAGTCAAGGGGGTCTTAAAGATATTGACCGTACTGTATCTCACTTGAATTGAATTCAGAAAAAAATTGTCATTTACAAAATTAAAGCTCCTTTAATGTTTAGTACAGTGCTCCACAAAATGATGCTTCCACCCTTTGGAGCCATCAACGTGAACCGAAAACGAGAAACCGGAAAAATTCCAAAAATCACGTTTTGGCAGATCCACAAAATGATCCTTCCATTTTCAAAAAGTAAGATTTTGGAGGTTTTTAAGCTTTGAGCATACCTTTTGAAGGCACGAATTTTTATGATTCTGACTCCATACACTAAGTCTCTGATACATGATTACTGAATCACGGAATCCAAGTATCGGAACTCCGTATTTCCGGATTCAAAATTCCGGATTCCGGTTTTTGGATTCTGGATTATGTGAACTGAATTGTGTGTACTGAATTTCGGAATACGCATTCCGGATTCTGTATTACGGATTCCGGTATTTGCATTCCGGTTTTCCGGATCAGCTTTTTGAATGAATTCAATTGTCCCGTGAATCTGATATTCAGGTATTCTTGACAAGCTAACATTTCAGGACGTTTCCTGTGGGTTACGAAAGCTTATGAGATTCTGAGGGACTTCGAATGAACTTGGCATTTTTAAAGATTCTCCAGGATTATGAGAGGCAACCCTGGATTCCGCTATGACTACCACAACTTCCGAAAAGACCATCGTTGGGACCAAGATTTGTTAGTCGATTCTGTTCAACTTCTTCGAAACGAAGTTCAGTTTGTTCGTACCTTCCGATAAAATTGCCGTTAATATCCGAGTTCATTCGAAATCCCTCAGAATCTCATAAGCTTTCGTAACCTTCAGGAAACTTTTGCTTGTCAAAAATACCTGAATATCAGATTCTAGGGAAAATCGAATTCATTTAAAAAACTGATCCTAAAAACCGAAATCCAAAAACCGGAATCCGTAATACAGAATCCGGAATGCGTATTTCGAAATTCAGCACACACAAATTCAATACACATAATCCAGAATCCAAAAACCGGAATCCGGAATTTTGGATCCGGAAATCTGGATTCCCGAATCCGGAAATACGGAAATCCGATATCCGGATTCCGCGATTTAGTAACCATGTATCAAAGACTCAGTGTATGGGGGTCAGAATCATAAAAATCTGTGAATTCGTGCCTTCAGAAGGTATTCTCAAAACATAAAAACCTCCAAAATCTTACTTTTTGAAAATGGAAGGATCATTTTGTGGATCTGCCAAAACGTGATTTTTGGAATTTTCCCGGTTTCTTGTTTCAGGTTCACGTTGATGGCTCCAAAGGGTGGAAGCATCATTTTGTGGAGCACTGTACTAAACATTAAAGGAGCTTTAATTTTGTAAATGACAATTTTTTTCTGAATTCAATTCAAGTGAGATACAGTACGGTCAATATCTTTAAGACCCCCTTGACTTTGGGCGCACAGAAAAAACGAGAATTTTTCATGTTGACACTTTTTCACGAACATTTCCCTGAATAGGTGTTTCGGACCATGCGAAGGGTGGAAGCATCATTTTGTGGAGCACTGTAGACTAAACAACTTTCATGCTCGTTGAAATAAATCTACTCAGTAGAGTATTTTGAAACCCACGGTTGGCGGTTTTGAACCTTAGAACCTTAGTTAACTAATAAAGTTCCAATAAATTCAACTAAACTAATAAAGTTCTAATAAAGTTCTAATAAAGTTAACGTTCTAATAAAGTTAATGTTCTAATAAAGTTAACTAATGAAACCTTTGTCAACTTATAAAATTAGAATCAAAAAAGTTCCACTTTTGGACAAATTGAAAAAACTTGTACATTTAAATTCTAAAAATATCACTTAACTGGCGTTTTCAAACTAAGAATCAATTTCTCATGGGAACTGATATATTAATCACCCCTCAAAAGTTCTGGAAACAGATCAATAAATAGTAATTGCCTTCTCCCTTTCCGACAAAAATACATGGCCGTAACTTATCGAACACAAAAAAATGGATTGATATGTTTTAAGGGTGTTGTTACTTATTATAATTTACTCGCCCTGGGCTCAAAAAACAATATTATCATGAATAATACATTGAATTAGAAACAATATTCTCTATCAATTTTGAATTAGGTGACAATGTGGCGTTGGGCTCATTTCAAAATATATTAAATTGTAGAATTTTAAATTTTGTTTGTATTATTTGCAACATTGTGACATTGTACATTTCGTTACTTTTTTTTCAGCAATTACAGTAACCCATTTTGCATTTCCATTTCTTTCCTTTTCAAATGACACTGAAAAAGACGAAAAAGAAATCAACGGGTTTAGATACCTAAAACAATAGCCCACGCACAATTATTATCTCTTTTTTTGGTGAGCCATATTTATGGCTTTTTCGACAATCATTTCTTTTCGTATAAATTTTATGAGGTTGGGGCTCATAATCTGATTTTGCCTTCCACTCGTTGTTTTTCAAACATTATTTTCAAATTTTGGCTTGTTCGGATTTGTCTATGTATTCTATTTTTACAAAATTACACTTTTCCACTTCTTTAACTGAAAGTGTTCATCTGAAAACTTGTACCGATGGTTTCTGGAATCAATTTTTGGTTGAAAAATCGGTGGCTTGAAATATGTGTAAACTCAAGATCGACATATTTCATGAATCAAAATCTGCCATCTCAGCGATTTTTTTTTGCATGAAGAAAAATGAGAGAAAGAGATATACACCTCTTTATTTATTAGCCCCATTCATTTCTCTTCTTTCTCTTGACTCGGCATGAGGTCTGAGTTTTTACTTGGGTCGAAAGGTTCATTTTCATTTTGGACACTCTCCCAACTTCCTTTTTTCAAGTTTTTTTTTGTGATTAATTTGTTTAGTTTATTGAAAAACGAGTTTTAACAAGATTCCTTTTTGTTATGTTTCAGATTTTTAAAAGAATGCGTGGTAGGAACTCATTTCTAGTCATTTTTATGGGTCTTTCGAGCTGCATTTGCTCAAGGATCCGAAACTATTTATACTTTTGCTTTTATCCCATTGTATCGCATTTTTGTACACCTTTTGTTTTTTTTTCCTGCCAAAATGCAAACGTCCATCTCACCACCTGTTCCTCATTTTGTCTGTTGTCGACTAGGACGCCAGACTCTTCCTAGGTTCAACACAATTATGCACTTTTTGGGATCCGTTAATGTGTGTGAAATTTTTTTTTCGATCTACGAAATCTACAGCACCAGATTTCGAAATCTCAGAAAAAAACATGTTGATAAAGAGTATGCCATATTTCCTTGAATTGAACTTCAACCTGGCATTTGCACTTTAAGCTCATTCGTTTTGATTCTCATAAAATATTTTTTTAAATTCTGTCAATTGATCACTTGCGGAGTCGTAATGCTTACTTTTTCAGTTGGTTGATTTTTGCATACATTTCTTACAAAAGTTGAAAAAAATTGAGCTTTAAGTAGTATTATGAAGATAACATCGTTTAAGAGGAATTGGGCATGCTCAGGGTCTGTTATCTACTAGTTTATCTTTCTGTCTGGATTTCCTATCTGACATTTGAACGAAATGTTGATTTATATTTTTGTGCTTTTATCGCTCTTGTTTTGAAAAATCAGCATACGACATATTTTTATATCCGCTGTTTTTTTTCGTTGCCTTACCGCTCGCATTTTCCATCGGTGCAAAAGTAATGAATCATTAAACTGCCAACTCATCTTCTATTTCTAGTGGCAGAACGTGCAGCGGAAAAAACCAAATATCGGAAAGTTCCTGGAAAAAATACATTGCCTCGCTATTCAAACATATCCGATGCATATTGATGTAAATGTTACAAAAATCTTTGTCACATTTTTTCGTTTTACATATTCGCGTGTATTTTTCTCTTCTTCTGAAAAAAAACTATGATTTTTAGAAAACGCACACTTGTGACCCATACTTGTTGTAAATCAAAATCTGTCAGCCACTACTTGTATACTTTTTGCCCGTCTCGTCTCCTCATATTTTTGTCTATAAACGTCCAAAAAATTCCAATTGTATCACCATCAAATTTCATAGATGTGTGATCAGGGAATGTACCACATCAAACTAATGAGTACGTTTCACAAAACTCACTACTGTCGAATCAATTATTTTCTCTTTTCATTTCTCATTGTAACCAATTAGGCAAACGATTTGACCATACACCTTATTTCTAGAAAAACTGAGGCTTCAGAATCTTCAATTATTCGAAAAAAATTTTTTTTTCCTCCTTTCTTACATTGATTTGAACATTTTTAAAAATCTTTTTACCTCTTTTTTTCCTGTGAAAAGTATAAATACATTCATCTCCCTTGATAAAAAATTTGTGTGGCGATTTGTATTTTTGACAATCCAAATTTTTTTTCATAACATTCGAACTGTATATCTATAGTTCTACAAATCCTAACGTGGTGTCTATGTGTATCTGATCAGATGACAGTATTATATTTTCACACAAGGCACCTATTCCGAAAGTCATACCATTTACAAAACTCGAGTAGAGGAAATGAAATACAAGGGAAGAATGGCAATGCTAATGCGAACACTATATTTTCCAAAGAACGAGGAAAACCGCGAAAAAACAACTTCCGACTCTGGGAACTGGAGGAGTGAGGACAGCATATAAATTTTTCTTTTTTTTCAGATCCAATTTTTTCGTAGTCTTGTCTTTTTGAAAAATATTTCTTGATCATTTTCTAACTTCCTTCAGAGGCTCTGCCAAAATTTCTCATTCGCTTTTCCGTCTCGTCCATCTCTCCCGTCTCTTCCTTTGTTTTCTCTAACCCTCCTTTGCCCTGTACTCATAGTAGCACATCCATACAGTCGAGCTCGACCTCCTCGTCCCTAACGACCTTAATACGAATGTGATTTCCATTCGCATACCTTGCTCATTCAATTCTACTCGTTTCCGACCATCGAAATATCCGAATTACCTTTGACTGAGCTCTTCCAATATTATTGATCTGCTGGACGGTGAAGACCGCATCTGCTGGGTGAGTGAAAGGAAAAAAAAAGAAAGCATGCAGTCATTTTTTTAAGCTATATTAGATTTCTTATTCTGAGTCTTCTCTCATTCCATTTCATTAGTTCAACCCAGACCTGCCAACTGTACATAAACGCCGTCAAAGATCATAATTGTTTTTTGTCAAAATTGTGAGAGAAAAAAAATCAGGATCGGAGTTGTGTAGTTTCTTTCAGAGAGGGCTAATTGTAAAAATTCAAACGTTGATGTAGAGCATCTACCGTGAAATTCGTTTTTCCATCCGTCCTTGGTATTTTGATTCTTTCCTTTATTCGATCGAAGTGCCAGCCCCACCTGTTCCCGTTCTTTCACAATATTCTCTGCCAAAAAAAGAGGGCTGAGAGAGAAAGAAAAATAATCATTTCTACTCGGTATGAACATCGGTTTCCAAACTTTCCATTTAACCAATTGTCTCAAAACTATATAGAAAGTAATATTTCATTCAGTAATATTTTTCATCCTGAATTAGTATTATTCTGCACAAAAACTGATTTTTACCAACTAAGATACAGGTATTATGGAATATTTTATCTGTTTAAGATGTAGCGCCAATTTCGTGAGTCGATATTTGAAAAATCGTACGGCGTTACTACACAAGCCAACTTAGAAAGCTAGTCTTCCCTTTTCTACTTTACTTTCTCCGTTTTTTCATATCTACTGTGTCCCAAACACCCCAGATATTTGACGAAAAGGTTTATATTTTTATGCGCGACAAAAGTGCCGACAACGGCTTCCGACTGAAGGCGGGAAAAGGAGACACAGAGAGGGTCAGAAGAAAAGGACGTTCAAAAAATAGAGAGAACGATATAAACAAATTATCTTTAATGTGAGCACCAGACATTGGTAATCGGATACTGTTCATGGTTGTCGACCTAGTGTGAAGGGTACACACACATTAATAGATACAATCTTCGAAATCACTATTAACACGCATTTCTTCGTTGCTTACAAAAAACACTTTTTGTGCGACCGAGTTTAGCACTGAAAAAATGTCGAAAGAATGATTTTTTATAAGTTTTTTTCTGGCCGTCCACACAGATATTTCGAACATCTATAACACCTGTCACGGTATTTCTCTCACTAAATTTTCCTTTTTTTCATGTACTTTCGCAAACTTTGCTAGATACAGTGCTAATAGCTTACAATTTTTTTGTTCTTTTTCCTTCTCCGCTCCTCGTTTTTTTCAGAAATTAGGAAATTTCTTACACCCACACACGAATTTCCCTCCCACGGAAAATCTTCCTCGATTTGTCTTCTATTTCCATCCAACTTCTAAATGAAAAATTCAAATTTCCAGAAAATGCCGAGAAGAAGAATTAAAATGGAAATAAAGGAGGAGAGACCAGATACACCAAAGACGCCAGTCACCCCAATCGCACCAGCCCCGTTCGTTCTACCTCCCTTCGATCTATCCTTGGCTGGCACTTTCCAAGCAGGCCCACTGCTTTTCCAACAATTCGCAGAACAAGCCCGACATATTTGGAATGACCGAAACCAGCCATTGAATCCCGCTCTATTGAATAACTTTCCGAACTTACCGTTTTCCCATATCGCCGGAGTTCATGCTGTTCATCCTATCGCAATTCAAAATATCGCTGCTTTTAAACTCCCCGTGATGCCTCTTTTTCAATGTAGAGAATCCGTATACGATCAAGTCAACCGAGCATTCCAGGACGTCTTCTTTCGTCAGCCGGGTATATCCATGGAAGAATTGGCTCGTATAATCTTCCAAGTCGCAGAGAAAGCAAAACAGTATTGCATATCTACGGGAGACGATCTCAATCTTTACTTGAAAGTTACTGTGAGTGTTTTCCATATACAGGTCATGTAGTTTTTGAGATTTTAGTCACTGCAATCCGATTTAATTATTATTCTGAATGATGTATATCGGAAATGCCGGAAGTTTCCCTCACAACCACCGGCGTTTTGGGACTTGGTTGGTTTTTGTTTCAGAAACAATTAGAAATATATAATAGTTTTATAGACCCTGTATGCTTTATATAAAGAGGCTCGGTCCCGAGGTGCTCCACTCACCTCTGTTAGCCAGATTACGAGAAGTACAGTGAGTGATTTCAAACTGAAAATGCAAATGACATCAGTACAATTGAACTATTTTCAGGTCGAAATGCTCAAACTACAGTGCCCTACAGATGTGCTGCCGTATTTCTCAGACCTTTCATTGATAATCGGAATCTGGTAAGTTCTTTCTTGCGCTTGAAAAGCCAAGAGTTAATATACCAGTGTCAATAAGTTATAAATTAAACAGTTAAAAAAAATCTTCTCCTAATCGTTACAATAAAGAAAATGCTCTTGTCCGAAACCAAGAAAACGTTTAAAACTGATATCTCATCAAGTTTTTCTTGAAGTTGCAAAAGCTAACTAACGTATCTTTTTAGTTTATTTTAAATCTTTTCATGAGTTCGCTCTTGCGCTTTTAAGAAAAAATCAACGATAAATCCGCTTTCATAATTTCTTGGATACAACAACAATCATAAAACTTTAGTTAATACTTTCTTTCAGCGAACCACTGGAGCCGCCAATGTGTGAGTGGAAAAAAGTGAAAATTTTTCAACTTCAAGAGGTAAATATACATTGACAAGACCATTGTTTGCATAAATTCAACCGATTTTTTTCAGGCCATAATAAACACTATTTATGGTCAACTGCAAGGAGTACATAGTGATGAGCAGTTGCCAGCCTTGACGTATCTTCCATTCGTACGTTGAATGTCCATAAATCTTTAGCTCAATCGGTTTTTTTCCAGGTGGTTAGATTGTTCAGAGAGTTTGGATTACCAATGAATGACACTTATCAAACGGAAATTATCGACCGACTGGTTAGTTGTTATAATTATTTAAACGACTTGTTTCTACAAAGGTTTTTTCAGAAAAGAAACTTGCCTCACATTTCGCCTCACTATTGGGACGTGCTCAGCTCTGAAATCAAAATTATGTTAAACCACGGTTGCAACCCTAACTTCCTTCCCGTTTCTGGTTAAAAATATTACTTTTGTATGCTTTAATTTTTATTTATCTTTTTTTTCACTTTTTGTTCACAATCTATTTGATCTCTTAATCCCTACTGAATTCACTTGAATCCTGGGTATTTAGAATGTTGTAGAATGTTGAACATATTCTTCTTCCACCCCCTCTAATGATTCTCAACTTTTCGAATGCACATTCTTCTATGAATCGTCGCCAGTTTTCAATATCATTTTTAAATTTTCTTGTATTCAGTTAATAAGAAAGGTGCTCTTCTCATTCTCCTACAAAACAAGGCAGAAAATTCAGAATGTAATCTAGATGCATTCTCCCCCTGATTTCAAAAATATCTTTCCACTTTCCGCGGCTGTAGAAGCTCCAGAAAACTTCTCTCCTGGATATCCACCCTCGATCCATTCATTTCTTGTTATTTATCATAATTTCTAACAACCCCGTCCAAATTCCGTTCATCCCAGTCCGTTATATAGTCCTCTCTCATGTACTCTAGGTTAGGAATTGTGAGGCATTTTAAAAACCAGGACCCTTTAAAGGCTTCGGTATGGTATCGCGGTTCGACGTGTCGTTCAAAACTACTGGATGCATTTCTACAATTCTCAGCTTCATTCATTAAAACAAACTTATTCGACAATACACACCTGTCCTATTGTGACATCCACACGATCTTGCCACAACATCTTGCATCCTTCCTGGCTTGTTCCTCACAATTAAAGAATAATAAATTTTTTAAAATCCGTAATTTGACAGCGTACTCATTTTTATGTAAACAGTTTAGTTAGTCAGAAGAGGAATAACACATATGCAACGATGCACTGAGTGTTTTTCTACATTTATCAAATCCGTTTACTTATTTATTGGAACTTTTACTGTTTTTTAAGTAAGTTAAAATTACAATCCATGTTTCATTTCACTTTTTTCACTCGCCAGCTAGAGATCAGATTATCGAGACTCGCCTAATCATAAAAACCATGTTCGATGTTTTTTTTTCATTCGAACAGGGAACTAACACTATAAATTGAGGTGATTGCACGTTCATTCGAAGTTCATATCTTTTCACAATGAAAAAATGCCGGTCATCCCTGCTCCCAATTTTTCAAATCTCCCGTTTGTCCGTACCTCAGAACTTTTATTATCAAAAACTGTGCAAAGTAACAGTTCACCAAGATTTGATTCATCTCTCTGCTCCTGCTTTCTTGCATTCGGTATAGGACTTTTTTCACAATTCACAAGATTTCCTGACTCAGGCCGATGGTGAAGCGACTGCGAAGTGACCGTCCTCAGCATGCGTATGTTTTTCGGTTTCTCTACTTGTGTGCGGAAACACTGTTGCCTAAATTCTTGTGCGTTTCCTCGCTCCCAAACACAATCTATAGCTTCTGAGTCATTTGATTCCCAATATTCACAACCGTTTTTGATGGTTTTGATATATATTTTTTCTCTCAAAGATAACGCCTTAATATTTAATCGATATTTTTCTAAGGGTCACTTTTTCGCAAGACACACATATCCTGGCACTTTTTCTTTTCCATCCTACTTGATTCATTCCAAAGATATGTGGAAAGCAATACTTATATCTTTTATCTTGATCTTAGGTATTTAGAAATAATTGAAAGTGAACGTATCCTTCCTTCAAGATGCGATAACTTTATCCCACATTCTGATTGTGAAAAATAATTTAGTGGTGATTTCAGCGCAGAAATAAAAGAATATCCTCTGCACCACCTTGTATTTTTTCACCATCCACATGTTTGAGAAGACATTCTTATACAAAATGACTGTCGCTTATGTCCCACAACCATTCCTTTCTCCGCATTCGTTCTTTTCTGTAGGTTACATTCTCATTGTTATGTTTAACGACACTGCTCACTTTGGTTGCGTCTTCTCACTCATTTCACTTTTCAACTTATCTGTGTCTCTAAATCTAGGCTAGGCAGTCAAATCTTATGTAAAACCGTAAGGGCATTGGTACCGTCGAACGAGCTGGTGACAACAAATAATCATGTTTTCACAAGATTTTAACCTTGTTTTTTTTTGCTCTTGATCACGTCGTCCTTTGTCATTTCTTTTATTTTTTTTTAGGATGAACCATTCAAGTGATCCTAGTCATCCGCCCGTTACTCCGTTCCATCGTCGCGCTCTCCAACTTCCTATAGAAAATTGGACCGAAAATGTGATTTGGACTACGGAAAAGTCGGCAGTACTGAAAAAAAAGTGGACGATTCAATATTTTGAGAAAACGGATCGTCGTCTCCAATTTCGCATTCGGCTCGTCAGTGGCTCTGGAGCAAGGTTGGTGATTTAATAGTGCAGTGAATAAAATGAGACTGATTTTCTGATCAGATTCAAAATTTTGTTCTAGTCATGCGTTGTATACAGTAGTAAGTTTTAATGTACTGTGAATACTCTCATGGAAAACCTATTATCGCACTTCGTGCTTCATTATCTCAATTTCTTTGAGAGATAACAAAAACATTTCAATTCATCAAATGTTTCTTATAATACCATAAACACTTTAACAGTAAACAAACGTCTGAAAATTAAGATAATTGAGCTCAAAGAGCAGATATAGGTAACCCTATTTTCTTTAATAGAAGTCCTTCTAAACTGTCCCCTTTAAACTCAATTATCTCGGTTCTCGTGCAAACTATCAAAATGTTGTCCACTGATAATTTGTTAATCATGTTGTTGTCAGTGTTTTATCAGTTGACAAAATTTTGATATCTCACAAAAAAATCGAGATAATTGAGCTTAAAGCAAATATACAATACTGTATTCTCCTTATAAAAGCCCACCCAAACTGTCTACTTTAAGTTCAATTATCTCGGTTCTCGTGCAAACTATCAAAATATTGTAAACAGATAAATTGTTGATCACATTATTGTCAATGTTTTACCAGTCGACAAAATTTTGATGCCTTACAAAGGACACGAGATAATTGAGCTCAAAGAGCAAATACAGGTTATTTTATTTTCTCTGCTAGAAGCTCACCAAACCTGTCAACTTTAAGTTCAATTATCGCAGTTCCCGTGGAAAATATCGAAATTTTGTCAACAGATGAATTGTTTATCATATTATCGCCAATGGTTTATCAGTTGACAAATTTCGGATAGATCTCATTGGAACCGAGATAATTGAGCTCAAAGTTGACAGTTTAGGTGGACTCTTATTAGACGGTAATCTTCTATTATAGTATTTACAGTATTTTAGCCACTTATCGTGAGATAGAGTCAACCTTGGATGTCTGTAAATTTACGAAAATTTGATGGGTGAGACTGTGATTTTCATGACTCTTATCTCATTGTGTTCTCTGGATTTTTTCCACAAAATTTAATTTTGAGCAAATTTTTTTCTCGGTTCCTGTGAATGATATCGTAAATTAAAACTGACGAAATGTTTACTATCAAATCAAAAATATTTTGTCAGTGAACGATTGCTGATTATATTCCACACAAAATGAGACATATGGGCTCAAGATTGACAGCTCGCAGGCATTCAATAATATTATATAAACGTTGTCAATCTTTTGGCCGATGCTGTATATTTTGACACAAATAGAAAGTATTATTAAAATATGAATCTAAAAATTCAAATTAGATAATTTGAACTTTTTTCAAAAAGTATTGTCAATGTTCTCCTGCACCCTAACTTGATCAAGTTATTCGAGAAAGAAGCTTTTTACTCAAGCCACCTTCTCTGTCGAAAAATGCAAAGTTTTGTTTTCAGAGAGGTTATCTTCTACAATCCCGAGGGTATCAAAACTGCAGCCCAGTGGTCAAAAGACCGTATTGACTTCTCTTCTGTAGTGGTTTCCACCGACCAAGAAGAGTTGGACCACACAACCGTGCAACCAGGTGTCAACTACTCGGTTTATCTAACGGCCGATGAACTGGATGCAAACAATACAAAAATCCGGTGCCACAATAAATACCTGGGAGTTGTGTTGTTTTCAGATCCTGAGGTATCAAAATTTGAATTCCCGAAGATTGCTAATCGTTTTTTTTTCCTAGGAGCGAAAAAAGGTCAACGGAACAAATAAAAGAAAGCCGACACAGAATGGAGATGGAGAAGCAAAAAACAAAAAGATGGCGAGAAATGGACGAGAGAAGGGGAAGGCAGAGGAAGAAGGATTTTTGGAAGAGGTAAATGACTTTGAAAGATATTTAGTAGCATGAAAATGTTGACTTAAGGTGCCACAATCATCGTCGGCAAACAGAAGATCATTTGAATTCGACGACTTCGAATGTTGTGATAAGGAGCCGTTCTATCGGCTTGATAACTTTTCGTGCGCAGCGGATTCAACCAACTGCCGGGTGAACGAAGGAGACACGTATTTCGCACTGAAGGAAAACGGAGAAATAAAAAGAGAATGGCTCTGCAAGAAGCATTTTGATGAAATGAGGAGCAAAGGAGAAGTAGGAAGCTCAGGAAACAATCGGCGAGTATGGTTGGAGCATCTACACGATCATAGAGAGTACGAATTGAAAAAAATGTGCTCTCTTTGTTCAACATGGAAGCATGTTGTGTGCGAAAACTTTTGCCTCGATGAAGATACGAAGAGCTTCGTTTGCCAGAGTTGCGACCCACTGCCCAGAAAGATGATTTCTGCAGCAACAGCTCTCCATGAGACTTATCTGTCGAAACACATGGAGAAATACTGTAAGAGACTTTTTGATGAATTGCGATGCAGCTCAACAACTTCCATTCGTCTCATTGCTTCTGGGGAATCTGATTCCATCGTTCCTGAAGGACCACTAACGGACTGGTTTAACGAACTTAAAATTGATTTGAACCATCCGTTTGTTTACAAACACATCGGTGTCTTTCAACAGTCGACTGGCCCTGAAAAGGAAGACATGTTCATGTTCTCTATGATGGTCAGAGAATACGTAAATGATGGTCCAAAGAAAGGTACCACATTTCTCTATTATCTCGACACCAATCAAAGATGCTCCCCGTCTCAATTCAGAAGCAAGATTTACCAGAAACTGCTTGCTTCTTACTGGGATTATGCAAGATCCATTGGTTTCTGGAAGTGTTTCGTATACATGAGCGCACCACGAAAGGGAGACGATTATTTGTTCTCTGGACATCCAGCAAATCAGAATTATTTAACCGACGACCATCTCTACGAGTGGTATCAAAAAGCAGTTGAGTCAGCGAGAAGAGAAGGGACGACTATCTACCAGCCAAAGAAGATATGCGTCGAGGAGAATGAAACAGTGGCTCATTTGGCGGATCGTCTGTTCTATGAGAACGGACTTTGGCCCGATATGTTGAAGGTCTACTTGGATGAAAGAGAGGAAGAAACTGGAGAAGAAGATTTTATAAAATTCGTGGAAGGAAGATCGGAAGTGTTCAAGAACAGTGTTTTCTTTGTCGATTTTTACCCGGAGAAACCTCTCAATATTATCATTTTGGATCGAGACCAGCTTTATCCCAGCAAAATTGCTGGTACCCGGGAAAGTTGGATCGACCACCAGCTAGAACAACACCTCCAATTTGATACCGAGAGGAAAACAAAGTATTCGACTCAAATTCAACTACGTGCTCTCGTTAAGGAAAGAGAAGAAAACAAAAATGGGGAGGTTGATGAGATGGAGGACGATCGGGTGAGAAAAATTTCATCTGGAACCAGCAATTCCATGCAATAGTTTGCCGTATTGATATTTTTGTTTCTACTTACTTTGCCTTTCCTACGCCCATTCTGCCAACAACACTTTTCTCTTTTTAATCATTTCTTTCGCCACAGTTTACCCTAGTGAGTTTAGCTGTTGTCGTTCAGGAAATCATAATAATTTTTCAGACTTCACATTTGCTCTTCTTCCTCATCCTCATGTCATTCAAGTCTCCTACTGACTCCAACAGAGGTACAAATGAGCAACAGACAGGTGAACTATACGTTTGCCAACGATCAACTAATGACTAAATCATTCAGTGTTGCGTTTCCATCTCCCGTGCTTTTTCATCTTGTCACATTCCAGTGACAACATCAGGACATCTTTTTTACCACAACGGTCACTCCCTTTTCAACTTCGGGTCCTGCTCAAAACCTTTATTTCTATGTTTTAGCGCATTTCACTTTTTTGCCTTTAGTTTCCTCATTTCTACCGTATCACAGATAACCATTTCCACTCTTGACATGTAATATATCAACCAAATGTAGCTTCTAAGAATTTTTTCATCACAACGGATTTCATCAAACTCTTTCCCAACCACCATTTTTCCATACAGTCCTTCTTGATTCTCCTCGTTTTTCCCAAGTAAAATTTAGCATTCTCCAATTACTTATCCATTGTGTTTTGTAACTCGTATGTGTTTTGTAACACTGTATTGCATTCAACTTTTTTGCCCACACTTCCCATTTTCTTCTGTATAACGGTCACCGTTCCCACTCTTAATATGTAATATACCAATCAAATATGAATAGTTTGTCTTTTTTGTCCCTCTTTTTTTTGTATCCAACAATCATATCCAATCTAATAAATTGCTCCTGCCAGACCTTGTTCGTCTCTCCCTCACTCTCTGCAGAAAAAAAGTTGGGCCTCGAGATGACTGTCAGAATATGGAGAAACATCCTAGCTTTGATGATCGAAAAAAATAATCTAGTGATGTGTCCTTACTATGAAGACCATGAGCCACTGATTTTCTGAAATAATGCCTGCTTGTATTTTTTTTTCCCGAAAGATTTCCCTTCACCACGTGAGTGAACTAGTGTTCCAACTATCTTCCTTAGCATAATCTATATATTGAGACATTTCGAGATGTGAAATTCTGATAAAACACTTCATGCAAAAAAGAGAGTTACACTAGGCAACAATGGAAAGATGGAGAGAGTAGAAGACAGGAGAAAAATGACAATGGCGATGCGTACATTACAAATTTTCCAAAAAACAAACCAGGGAAACGCCGAGAAAAACTATCGACCATCCGAACTCAAGAAGTCGAGACAGCATTTGCACTTTTTTTTGTCTCGCATTGACCATTGACAATAATAAAAATTATTTGAGGTTATTGCTTGATTTTGTTCCATTTTTGTTCCACCTTTTCCAATGTTCATACAGTTTCGATTCACAAAGTCTTGTTTTTTTTGAAAATGATATATCTTGATAATTTTCCATCTTCCCTTGGAGGCTCTGTCGCATTTTTTTTGCTGTTCCCTCTCTTCCGCCTTTCCGTTCTGTTTTGTTTTCTCTAACCCTCCTTCGCCCTGTTCTCATAGTAGCACATCCATACAGTCAAGCTCCACCTCCTCGTCCCTAACGACCTTAATACGAATGTGATTTCCATTCGCATACCTTGCTCAGTTCAATTCTACTCGTTTCCGACCATCGAAATATCCGAATTACCTTTGACTGAGCTCTTCCAATATTATTGATCTGCTGGACGGTGAAGACCCCATCTGCTGGGTGAGTGAAAGAAAAAAAGAAAGCATGCAGTTATTTTTTAAGCTATATTAGATTTCTTTTTCTGAGTCTTCTCCCATTCCATTTCATTAATTCAACCCAGACCTGTCAACTGTACATAAACGCCGTCAAAGATCATAATTGTTTTTTGTCAAAATTGTGAGAGAAAAAAAAATCAGGATCGGAGTTGTGTAGTTTCTTTCAGAGAGGGCTAATTGTAAAAATTCAAACGTTGATGTAGAGCATCTACCGTGAAATTCGTTTTTCCATCCGTCCTTGGTATTTTTGTCTCTAACGACCTCAATAACAATTCGATTTCTCATTTACATATATTGCACAGTTCACCTTCAACTGAGCTCTGCCAACATTCTCGATCTGCTGGACTGTAAAGGACCGCAACTGGGTGAGTAAAAAAAGCATGCAGATTCTTGAGCTTTTTCGTCTCATTCTTGAGCTGTCTTTGTTTTCCCGAAGTTTCCTTATCATTTCATTCCACTAATTCAGTTACTATGTATTTTGAAAGCTCTGCATAAATATCGTTTCAGCTTTTTAATTAATTCGTTACCTGTGTTTTGAAAGAAAAAACAAGAATCGGAGTTGTGCAGCCTTATTCATAAGGACCAAATTTTTTTTACAAATATTATGATTTGGAGGGTACAAAAATTTAGGGGTAGTTGGGGTGCAAAGAAAAAATACCACAAAAATCCGAGTTTGGCCCCAGACTTGTGGATTTTGTATCTCCAAATTGTTTCACCCTCCGAATTACCGTATTTTCTCACACGGAAAAGGAGGTTGAAAAATAGAAGCCCATGAGCACATAAAAGTGAAAAGACGGTATGTGCGAAATTTTTCCAATTAGAGCGTCCATGTATAGTTTATAATAGTGAATATCTACCATAAGAATTTCTCCTCAAACTTCACACTGTCCAACAATTTTCACCTTGTTTCATGCTTTTCCTCATTTTAAATATTTCTATATAATTTTTAATCAAAAGATCTGTGTCGTGCCCACTAGTTTCCGCTCTCTCACGCCATTTTCTGTATAAAAAGCGAAGGTGGACAGAGGACAAAAAAATAGTCTCTACACGATATGAACATTTGTTTCTGGCATTTACTCGCATCCATAATCATTAAAACCGAATAAATACATTCAATGATATTCCCAAATTGTTATTTTTTCTTCACAAAAATATAGCATAGATGTATCATCAATATTGGAAGTAGATATTTTAGAAATTATTGGAACATACAAAATCTTAGAAAGTTAGTTATCTTTTTTCTACTTTTCATTCTCCTCCTTTCTCTTCTTAAATCAACCATATCCCAAACATGCCAGACATTTTACTTGAATGTTTATAATCTGTTTTTGCGCGAGAAGGATGCCGATGACGGTCTCCGACAGAAGGCGGGAAACGTAAACTGAGGGAGAGAAAGGAACATTCGAAATAAAGCGAGAACGATATGTTTTCTTCGAATTATGTTTGATGTAAGGACCCGGCTCACTTGTAATCTGGTACTGTTCATGGTTACTGGCCTAGTGTGAGAATTATTACAGGGTACGGGAAAAATTTTGTTACAAAAATAAGACATCATAACTTCTCGGAAAATAGTCCGATCAGCATCAAATTTTAATACACGATTTTAACGAAGAAATGTGTCATAAAAATAAAATTTTAGTTGTTTGCTTCTGGCAGCTGTGTTTCTGGTAGTGGTGCTCACCTCAATGGTACAGAAAGTAGTTCCATCTTTGTAAAATCTGAACTATAAACCTTTGCAAACCGACTAATGAAATAAAGTTGTGAAAAAATTAATGCACGCGTCAGCTTGAGTCAAACGTTTGTAACAGTACTTTGGCCGCACCCCGTAGCCTGGATGAAAGTGAGAGATAAATGAAATGTTAGAGAAAATGATCTCGGTTACGGTCTCTGAGAGACATTCTTTAATTTTTTCTTTTGAAATCTATCCCGGTACACATACGAAAACATAAAGTTTTTAAAATCACTGGTCACACGTTTTCTTTCTATTGATAAGAAAAAGCCAACCTTTTTCATTCAATCAAGTTCAACAAAAGTGAAAATTTTCAGGTTAAAAATGGATACCTACAATCCATTCAACAGAGACGTTTTTGAGATGGCAAGGGCAAAGAATTGGCCTGCTCCAATCAACTATGTGGAAGTATCCGAAGTGCCGGTTCTCCTCAGAGATAAAATTCGGTTCAAGAACAATTCGAAGAAAATATTGGACTTCCGTCTCATTTTCAGAAGTCCTGAAGGAGCTCGGTTAGTTCATTAATCTTATTAACAATTCGCTGATTTGTAAGAAAGATCCAAATTAACCCACCTAGTTTTCCAGCTAGTACACCTATTTTTTTAACTGAATTTGAAAGTTTACTTTTGAACCAAAGCTTTACAAGAGAGCCTCAACACCTCGCAAACCCAGATTTTGTTTAAATTACCAGGATATGTTGATAATAGCCTATCTAGAAACGAATGTTTTAAAATCAGCTTCAGCCGAGTCACATCAGTTTCAGTACCAAAAATTGAGTGCAAAATAGCAATTTTCAAAAAGAAGTTTCTTAACTTTTAGGACGTTTTAAAACACGAACTTTACTGTGTCGCACTGAGAATTATCATGAATTTTTATATTTCGGACTTTTTTTCAAAAATTTTTCTTTCGACTTTCAATGAATCAGGAAAATCGTGAAAAAATTTTAAAAAAATTTCGTTGAGAAAACGTTTGAAATATGAAACTTCACTCAATTCTAACCAACTAACCGAAAAAATTTCATTTTCTGAAACGTCCCAGGAGTTTCGGAAAAAAAGGTACTGAAACTGATATAGCTCATCAGCTGAAAAATGTCAGCCGATACTGGCAGCCGATACTGGAAAATGTTTTCAAACTGTGGGTTCCTGAGGTGTTGACGTTTTCTCATTATAATAAGAAAAAGTTTCGAAATTCCATTTTCCGATAGGCCTGAAACATGTCAAAGAAGTAGGAAAAAAGGTAAAGTTTTTCTCTTGTAAAAAGTTGCTGAATTACTGAATGATTATTGGAGACACACGTCTACCAGTAGAAAATCTTTGACAAAAAAGCATGACTTTTTAAAAATTCGAATCAAATCTGTTTTTTTTCCAGAGAAATCACCGTCTCTAATCCAGAAGGTATTACTTCCGAGAAAGAATTCGATTTCCGAATTTATGTGACGAGTGACATGATTCATGAAACCGCCTGCAAAGTAATGAAATGGGTGCATTATAATATGTACATTGCGGCGAAGGAATACGATGATGCGTATAACTTTGTTGCATATCATGAGAAACTCATTACGAGCATCGTATTTCGAGACGCCCAGGAAGAATATGTGAGTTTCCTATTAGGAAGTCGACTCTTACATTCAAAACTTGTTTGAGGAAATGGAAATTGCCACACCGTCGGAATCGCAGCAGCCAGGACCTTCTCAACTGGACCAGCCGAACCCAGGAATCATTTCTGCCAGAAAAAGCAATGCGGCAGGAAACGGAGAAGGATCTGAAAACTCCAAAAAGAGAGCCATGGACTGCGATAGAAAGTTGATGAAAGGCGATGGCTATTATAAATGGAGAAATAAGAATATTTTCTACAAAGCAATGGCTGGAGGACTCTTTGATGTGAAATGGACAGATGATAACCGGGAAGAAAAGGGATGTATCACATGTTCGGAACTCTCCAGTGTCATTGGAAAAGCAAAAAAGGAGATTGTTGAGCAAATAAGGGCATACAAACCCAGGGGGGTGGAGGTTGGCGGCGCAGGTGGAGGTTGGAAAAAAGTTTTTCTTTTTTTTCAAGTCTGCGATCCCCGGATGTGATGTATAAAAATTTTTATGTTAGAAACGATAACTATGAATGGTAAAATCGTGTTTAACGATTTTTTTGAACCATGGATCTTGCAATACTAAGGTGAAAAGTCATTATTTCTCTCAATTTGACGTTTGATGATCCCACGAGTCTGGCGAATGCTCAAAGTGAATGACGGTCTATGTTTCGGCTTGAATAGATTTCTTTGATCCTATGGGATAATTTCAAAAACATTTCGGACACTTGATGAGGAAATTCCAAATTTTCTAGAGTCATCAAATTATGCAACCCCTCTTGCGCAACGTCTCAATCCTGGGTTGATGTGGAGAAGGGTTCATAATTCCGGACGAAAAACAAAATGATACCAAGTGGCATAATTCACTGCTTACATAGGGTCCCTACTTTCTCTACCTTTCGAAAATATTAATAATTATTTCTTGGCGCCGGGCCAAGGAGATCTCAAGTAAAACGTCCTATACTTATCGGCCACTCTGTATTTTCCTTTTTTTTTTCATCTCATGTAAGCTTTTCTCACAACCATCGTTGTTGCCAAAGTTTTCTACTAAGTATTGAATCTTTAATGTATTCTCACCTAATTCTATGACAGTTTCTCGCGCAATGAATAATGGTTAAGCTGGGTGTGTGCTGATCGGGGACATGTGGGTTCGAGTTCCATTTTGGAATTTTTTTTTTTAATTTTTTCTCGATTTCTATGAGATATTCTGAATGATAGCAGAACCTTTGCGATGCATTGATGGTCATTTCTTCCCTAGATTGTCTTTTTTCAGCCTTTCTCTCAGGAATTCCTCAATTTTCTATTTTTTCCGATTTCGAACTTTTTTCTGGCGAAAATCCGTAAAATTAGGTTAGGTATCACAATTAAATTATTCAAAACCTCTTTTTCCGCATTATTCGAAACGATTTTCTCTGTCTTCAGCCGTCTGAAATCGAAAATTCCGCAGAAAATGGCTCGAGAAATAATTCGCAATTTTTCAACACTAACTCAGTTTTTCAATAAATGTGCATTTGTCTTGCGATTCCTCACAAATCTTTCGTACTTTTTTCTGTTTTCCAGAATACACTGGAGTTTTCTCATTTCTTCTTTGAAACATGTCCTCATTTGGAATGTGTTGAATGGCGATTTCTTTTGGTGAAATTGGAGATTTAACAACCGCAGGTATTGCTTCGTTGAGCAATGGGGAATCAGAAATATTAGAAAGGGAGCAGATTAGATGCATTTTTGGTGATGATCCTTGGAGTCTAGTCGCCCCCGGTAGAACGTTTCTATTCTTGTCTTGATCTGTGTTGTTGTTGATTGAAGTTTCCTCTCGGCGTTTTATATTCTTCAAAAGTCTTTTGGCTCGTTTAGAGACATCTTCTTTGTCAGATGAAAGCAGCTTTTGAGCTTCAGAAACAGTTTTAGAATTATGGAAGAGCTTGATTGGAACATCAGAACGCTTTGCCAGATGAATAAGTTTGTAGAGGGTATCCGATTGCTTGAATACAAAAATATAAAATATTCAAGTAATTACACTTTCGATATACCTGATAACCCAATTTCAAATTCTGCGTGTACCGGCTTATTTTTCTCTAAATGTCTTCACCAACATTCATATTTTTGAACTGGCAAGTATGAGCGGCTGTAAAAGAAGAGTCAGAAATGGAAACAGAAATGCATCAAGAGAAAGAGTCTATTCTCATGAGATTGACAAAAAACTGAAACGCACAGAAAGAAAAGATGAGAACGTCAGAAGAACTGAAAAAAAGGAGAACACACAAAAAACGGGGCAAAAAAAAAGAAGGGAAGAGGAAAGACAGAATCCCAAAATTTGACAGAAAAGATGAAAAAGAAGAAAGGTTTAAAGGATGTCACAGCAAACCGGGAGCAAAAATATAGTTTTTTGTGCAAGGTTAGAGAGTGATATTTAAACCTGGCTCAAGATGTGAAGTTAATTTTTTAGAGATTGTGTAAAGAATTAACTTTTTTCAAATATGAATTTTTGACTATACATTGTAGTCAATTAAATGTGTTGGCTAAATACGTCTTCCTTGACATACAATTCAGCAGATTTCAAAAACCTTTTTCACCCACCCTGCAAATAACTTTTTACACGCTTGTCGTTCAGGATGGGCAACTAAACCTCAATCCCCGATGAACTGACGCAAATTTAAAATTACGGAAACAAGAGCCAGAAGGCCCCGCATCCTTAAAGATTCTTCTACGAAACAGCATTTCAAATTGTAATTAATTAAAAACTAAAAAAAACCTTTTCAAAACAGGTTATACATTCTTAATGGTAGCCCAATTGATGCGATGAGGTTCTGCTTTTCAAAAATTCAAAATCGAGAAATGGAGATTAAGTAGACATTCGTATCAAGTCAAAAATGCAGAATCGACCCCCCCCCCCCCCAATGTCAGGAAGGAAGCAGGAAATTGCAAGAATGAGTCCGAATGACACGAGAATCGCAGCTGTGGAACATTGTTCAGATTATAGAGTTTTTCGACTCGAAAAAAAGAATAAACCTGAGAAGTACTGTCAGTTTAGACAAATCGTGTGTCTGAACAACAAATACAACACCAGCGAGCCGAATTTGAATTATAAGAAAAGAAATATTCTCAGCACTGTCAGTTTGGGAAAAGATGGTCAATAAAAAAAGGCGACGAATCAAAAAACTGGCAGCGAAACTACTGAGTCAAAAGAAATTCCTGTGTAATTAAAAGAACGCTCCCTAAAATAAAAAACCTAGTTTCGGAGTTCTGAATTTGAGACCAACTTTAAGTTTTCACAGCATTTCCTTGATCTTGGTGTGTTTAGTGGAACTGTAGTAGATAACTGATTTTTTTTAATTGGAAAAGGAAGCGTCTCACTCCAGAACAAATATTCAAATAGTGCTTTCTGATTTTAGAAACCTGTGGTACCAGCCACCTAGATGAACATAATCCTTAACATGTACTCACGTCACAAACAACCTTTAGAAAAATTGAAATTTGTATTTCTCACAGAATAATCAGAATAGTTCAATCTGCAGAGAATGTGTAAGATCTTTTGTTTTATTTGAAGAATGAGAGAAGGAAAATGAAGCACATGTGTCGAGTTTGATCTAAATTCCGAAATTCTCGAAGTTCTGAGATGTCTAAAACTGGAGAATTTCTATTTAAATGGATACTGTAGTTTTATTTCGGACTGCATTTTTGAAACTAGGAGGCCTTAATGTGAACTCTTGGTTTCGAACTTTTTACGTCACAATTTTCAGGCTTCTAAAAACATGAAAATCTTTGTCCAACTAATTGGGATTTGGATTATGAGTCGAAAACTTCCGAACAAGTATGAAAAATGAAAAAAATGGAAAATAGATCTGAGCCGCCGCGTCATCAGGGTGTTGAAGATTATAAGATTAAGTGAAGAACATCTGGTCCAATAATATAAAGATCGTGAAACTAATTCATCGTAGAGGGTATGTGCTGTAACTTGACTTTGAAGACCAAGAACTAGACGAACAAGAGAAGACGGATATAACAAGACATCTCAAAAAAGAGGCTGAATTAAGCAGTTAAATTCAACAATTACAGATATAAGACTCGCTTATTGTTTTTTTTTGTTGCTCTGTTGATGATGTTTACGATAGAGTACCACTAGGAAACATTCAACTGGCACGCACCCTTCAAAAAAGTGTCTTGAATTATTAGCCAACTAATTCACAAAAATAAGCTCAACAAGCAAAATAGTGAATTGGATAAAAAGAACAATTGACATTGTTCTGTTATTTTATGCATAATTAGGTTCAACGTTTAAAAATTGCTATAAATAATGCAGATTCTTAGGTGGTGTCAGAATTTTCAATTTGCTTAACACACATAATTCAAAAGCGGAGTTTTGAAAAATAAGAGATTTAGGAGAATGTGTATCGAAATAACTCGAGAATATCAGACCAAAAGCTCTTGAAGCGAAAATTAGTTCACAGGCGAGGATTAGGTGATGCAACAACACAATGAGTTCTAAAAACGAAATAGAGGTGTTCTGAGAGATTTGTGATCCGTGAAGTCAGAAATGAATCAGATTCAGAATTCTGCTAATTCAAAAGCATGGACTGTCAAGAAAAAAAATAGTACAATTTATAATTTTTTTTTCACTTTTAGATCAGTAACCACATCATAATGGTTTATCTTGGTTTCCTTTTTTCGAGCCAAGAACATCATTTACTTCATAAAATGTATGACCTCTTGATGCAGGCCAAAAACTACTTATTTATTCATGATCTTCAAAAAGATCATTTTTCAGGGTCATTCATATTTAGAGTGTTTGTCAATAAGTTCTAAACGTTTAAAAACTTCGACTTTCAGTTTTAAAGATGTCTCCTTAAAAAACAATGATATAAAATAGCTAAAATATTGCTGTTCGGTCCCGAGAAAATTGAATAAATATTTTTAAGCTGAACGAATAAAAAAAGAATACTGAAAAATGGGAAAAAGTCAACTGGTTTGAGCCTTGAACGCTATAACTTTAAGAAAAAACGGTTTCGATGCATTTATTCTGTTCTGCATGATCTTCACAAAAAACTGTTGGAAAAAGTAAACCAAGTGTCAACAATTAAAAAAGCCTTTTCTGCCTTTTCTCAAAACTCGTATGTGATAAATTTGAGAAAAAAGTTGGAAGCGAAAGTCTTGATTTTAGGGCTCAAAACCCGATTTTTCGAATTTATCACATACGAGTTTTGGGAAAAGGCAGGTAAAGCAAATTTTAAAAGAATATTTCGACTATGGTTAATATTTCACGAAAAAATTTGTGTGAATTGGCTCATTCAGCAAAAAAGTTGGAAGCGAAAGTCTTGATTTTAGGGCTCAAAGCCAGATTTTGGAATGAGCCAATTCACACAAAATCCTTTGTGAAATATCAGCCATAATTGAAACATTGTTTTAAACATTGCTTGTCCTGCCTTTTCTCAAAACTCGTATGTGATAAATTCGAAAAATCGGGTTGTGAGCCCTAAAATCAAGACTTTCGCTTCCAACTTTTTTTCTGAATGAGCCAATTCACACAAATTCTTTTGTGAAATATCAGCCATAATTGAAACATTGTTTTAAACATTGCTTGTCCTGCCTTTTCTCAAAACTCGTATGTGAGAAATTCGAAAAATCGGGTTTTGAGCCCTAAAATCAAGACTTTCGCTTCCAACTTTTTTCTGAATGAGACAATTCACCCAAATTTTTTTGTAAAATAATAGCCATAATTGAAACATTGTTTTAAACATTGCTTGTCCTGCCTTTTCTCGAAACTCGTATGTGATAAATTCGAAAAATCGGTTTTTGAGGCCTAAAATCAAGATTTTCGCTTCCAACTTTTTTCTGAATGAGCCAATTCACCCAAATTCTTTTGTGAAATATCAGCCATAATTGAAACATTGTTTTAAGATTTGCTTGTCTTGTCTTTTCTCGAAACTCGTATGTGATAAATTCGAAAAATCGGGTTTTGAGCCCAAAATCAAGACTTTCGCTTCCAACTTTTTTCTGAATGAGCCAATTCACCCAAATTCTTTTGTGAAATATCAGCCATAATTAAAACATTGTTTTAAAATTTGCTTGTCCTGCCTTTTCTCAAAACTCGTATGTGATAAATTCGAAAAATCGGGATTTGAGCCCTAAAAGCAAGACTTTCGCTTCCAACTTTTTTCTGAATGAGACAATTCACCCAAATTCTTTTGTGAAATATCAGCCATAATTGAAACATTGTTTTAAACATTGCTTGTCCTGCCTTTTCTCAAAACTCGTATGTGATAAATTCGAAAAATCGGGTTTTGAGCCCTAAAATCAAGACTTTCGCTTCCAACTTTTTTCTGAATGAGCCAATTCACCCAAATTTTTTTGTAAAATAATAGCCATAAAAAAAAAAAAAAAAAAAGTGTCTTGAATTATTAGCCAACTAATTCACAAAAATAAGCTCAACAAGCAAAATAGTGAATTGGATAAAAAGAACAATTGACATTGTTCTGTTATTTTATGCATAATTAGGTTCAACGTTTAAAAATTGCTATAAATAATGCAGATTCTTAGGTGGTGTCAGAATTTTCAATTTGCTTAACAAAATTTAGACTCAAAAGCAGTCATTTTGTCATTTTTAACTGTCATTCTTTTTGTCCCCAAAGCAACTGTCCGTCAGGAACGGCTTTCTC